TGTTCAAACATAGCCGAGAATACGGGTGATCGAGCTACCAATACAAACTTGTGTGCTGATATTGTCTCATTCTCTGCTCTCAATCTCACGTCACAGTGTTTTTTGTCAGCATATATATTTCGCAAATCCTCTTGTAGAGCGAATAGTGGACTAACACTTGTCCGAGGAATTAAATCCACCGAAAGAGGTTGACCGAAAGTGTAATTCTCAATTGCTGACAAAACATTACCATTAGACATTGAAATTTCGCACATTAATGTAAAAACATACCAGATGGAAGAACCCATTCTAATTTCCACTTGTTCTTTTGTGATAAATGTTGGAAAATCCCAAGTGCTTTTGTCGTCTGTAGTCACAAATAAATGTGTATCGCTTTTTGAATCTATAACCATACCCTTATCATTCAAAAAAGTTATTCTAAATGTCGCAAGTCGAGAAAGAGAAACATTTTCATCTACAATTTTGCAAATTTTGATTTGGACGTGCTCTTCTGGAGCTAGTACAGAAACTTCAAATTGGGATATATCTTGAGATGAGAATGTTAGATTCTGAGACCATTCTAAAGAATCTGGAATTTTCACATTCCATTTGAAAGAGCTTCGACTTATTCCAATCTTGGTAAGGGCTTCGCTTCCAGTGGCCATTTTCTCTTTCTTATTCTGGTTCATTGTCAAACGACAGCGTATTGTCAAAGTGTCATCTGCTTTGTCCTTCATGTTGGTGCGTAGTTGATCAATACTTATGAACTTATACTGTCCCAGATTTCCTATTCTCTTAAAAATTCTATTTTCTCTTTCATAACACCTTAAAATCTTGCCATTTGCGCCGATCATTTCGATGCTGAAATCGATGGTGATTTCATCAACACTGGTATCTTCATCTAATCTGCATACGAAACAAGATGCATAACCTTCGCTTTCTCTGTTGTAACCTGACGGATACAGACTTACGAACCACTTAGTTCCATTCAAAGTTTCGGCGTTAAACAACGGACTTTTAAGCTCTTCACCATTTTTCATGTGAAATAAAGAGAAGTTTTCAATTTTCCACGTATATAAATATTCATCCCTGTTTTCTGCAGACATTCTATAATTCTTTTTTTTTTTCCACAGCGAATAACAACGTCAGTTATTTTCCCCTCAATTGTTTGAATGAATCTGATAACTCAACGATTCTACATTATCATATCTTAGAAACTCAGATAAAATGAAACAGGAAGTTTATCTTATGAATTATTCTTCCTCTGATAATGTTTACATTCATTTTGCTTATAACTGAGTTATCTTTAGTGGGAAATAAAGTATCATTTAGTAATTCTTGATTTATAAATACTTTATAAGGGTAATTACAAAGGATACTGATTTTATTTATATATTTCACCACTTGATACAAGTTTTTTTTTAAAAAAATAATTTCTTGTTGTGTTTTCTTTTCTAGGAGTTAATAAAAAGTGCAATTCCACGTACGGAATGCGTAATTTGAAATCATCATGCGAAATCAGACCTCTTTGGCGACTTGGCGCAATGACGTCACACGGATAGAAAACTGAGTTATAGAGCCCCTGAATAAGACATCATTGTATTGTAGCCCTAAACTGAGCGTGTTACGATATTTTGAAAGCTGTAACTTTGAGCAAAAATTTTTAACACCGAAGAATTGTCTTACAATATTAATGAATCGTTTTAATATGCATGTGTGNCTTGATTTATAAATACTTTATAAGGGTAATTACAAAGGATACTGATTTTATTTATATATTTTACCACTTGATAAAAGTTTTTTTTTTTAAGAAAAGATTTCTTGTTGTGTTTTCTTTTCTAGGAGTTAATAAAAAAAGTGCAATTCCACGTACGGAATGCGTAAATTGAAATCATCATGCGAAATCAGACCTCTTTGGCGACTTGGCGCAATGACGTCACACGGATGGAAAACTGAGCTAGAGCCCCTGAATTAGACATCATTGTATAGTAGCCTTAAACTGAGCGTGTTATGATATTTTGAAAGCAGTAACTTTGAGCAAATATTTTTAACACTGAAGAATTGTCTTACAGTACTAATGAATTGTTTTACTATGCATGCGTAATTAAACTTTTACTAGAAAATAATTTTGTTTTTAGAAACATGATTTTTTTATATTTTCATTATGTTAATAGTACCTACTGCTACATAAATTAATTGAAACTAAAGTTAATTTTTCCAGTTAGTCTATTTATTGAATATTTTAAGACTAATGTTACACTCAAACAATTTATTTTATTTAATGTAGGCACTGTATTTTCTTTTCTAGAATTCTTCACTTTAAAAGTAAAAGTGGAAAAAAAAAGATTGATTACATTAGAGAACATGATTCTGACTTTCATTTAAAATAAATTATGGCTAGTAGTATTTTAATTTTATGAAACAATGATCAAATTACCTTTTCCTTTGAAAGCTATTAGATTCAAAAATGCACATTCGAATTAATGTATTTAGACCTGAGATAGGTTGAAATTCAACTATGATGTTATAGGTTGATGTGTCTACGTTTGCTACTTTAACTAGCTATTTAGCTTTTTTTCTTTAAAAAAAATTCGCGGAATTTAGACAATTTAAATTACGGTTTTCTTAGCGAAATTTTAATTATGAAAGTGTTTTTTTTATCACATATCTTTTTGAATTCAAATTAATAAAAAACTTTAACTACGCATAACTGTTTTCATTTCTGTTCATTTTGTTTACCTTCCATTTATTTAACTTAACTCCAAATTAACTTTTTATTATTATTAGTTGAAATCGTGCGTAATCTAAAATAACTGAATTATTTTTTTAAAAAAAATTTACTTATCCTTCCTTATCGTTTTCAGGAATAAACTAAATAACTTTAAAAGCAGAAAATCAATTATCCAATAAGGAGAAAGTAATGAAAATTTTATCAAAGTATGATGAATCATTATTGAGAAGTACGAGATTAAAGACTTCAAAAACCGTTTAATTCTGAAAAAAAAGTGGGTGCACAGGCGAAGGACGATCTGTAGAAACACTTTTTAAGTTTCTAAAGGCAATCAAACTAGTTTTGATGTACACTTTCGTTGTGATTAATTCGTCAGAGTTTGAAAACGTTTGTCTTTTAAACTCATTTCATGATTTGCGCTCTTATTAATGTAAAGATACTTTTACTCTATATTTTATTTTGCATTTTTTAACGCAGTTTCTCACTAAGGAACACCATTTTATATATATACAGGGTGATTCTAAAAAGATGGGCAAAGTTTTAGAAAGTGATAGTACACACACAAGCAACCAATTTTTATCAAAAAATCTGGCGCATTTGGAAAGTTGTTTGATGCAAACGTGAAAGCTCCATTCCTGTTGCGAGTTACTGCGCTGCGTCACTTGACAAGCTTTCGGCCGCTGCAGGGAAAGTTCGTGATATGCCCTATCTTTTCTTTGCCGTTGTACTGCAAGCATAGCCGCTGCCGGCCACTGTTTTGAACACTTATTGTAATCACATGCCATTAAATTTGCTTTTATAACTTAACTTCATCGTTCTTTGTGTGTGTTTGCCTCATATAAGAACATAAACTTTGACACCCTCTAGCGGTTTTGCGTTTTGTTTTCGATCATGCATTCTTTGATAAAAATTGCTTGCTTGGGTGTGTACTATCACTTCCTAAAATTTTGCCCATCTTTTTAGAATCACCCTGTATATAACAAATCGAACGCGAGCTTACAAAATAAAGATCTCGAGAGAGACTAAATCAGCTTTCTACAAATAGTCATTTTTTTTTAAAAAGTGAAATATTTTGTATCTGATTTTTGCAGAGTCGTCAAAAATTGTAATAGTTTTATGGACCATATTTTAATTAATGTGAAACATAAATTATTATCATTTTAAAAACCAAAGTAACAATTATTTACAAATATAGCAGTTAATAAAGGTTTAGTACTAATAACTAAGGTTGAAAAATAACTAAAGTTATAATGAAACAACTAATGTACAATTATATCATATAAATAGTTAATATTGTAATACAAAATATGTAATGGTACGATGCATAGTTCCGTATAAAATACTTAAATTTAATTTTTCTTTTCATTTAATAATTTCTTGCAGTCGAAATTAATCTTTAATGAAAAATCACATGTAAAGTGGGGAAAATATTTTTTTAAAATTCGTTTCATGATTTTCCTCTCCATGCAACGCAAATGCGGTTAGTTCCCTTAAAAAGTCCTTCACGAAGGTTAATTTCTCCCAATACTTGATCCAAGAGCCTTACCTTCTGAATTGGATTCAAAATCACAAGGCTAAATTAATTGAACATTAATAGTCGTAAACCCTAAATTAATTTGACTGTTCAACGACGGTGATATAAATAAAATATTAAAAAAATGTCACTATATCGAGCAATGGTGGCTCAGAGGATAGAACGCTTGCCTCTCAATGAGGTGAACCGGGTTTGAATCCCAGCAATGGCTGGTTGATTCAAATTCCGCTCCCGGCTCACACCGACCACAGTGCTGACGTAAAATATCCTCAGTGGTAAGCGAATCATTGGTTAGAGACCCCTAGCTGTCAAGCTAACCATGGGAGATTTTCGTGGTTTTCCTCTCTATACAACGCAAGTGCGGGTTAGTTCCATCAAAAATGCTCCCACGAAGGCAAATTTCTCGCAATACGTGATCCAGGAGTTCTCTTGTCTTCTGGATTGGATTCAAAATTACAAGAATACGTGTTTGAACATTGGCAGTCGCAAACTGAAAATTCTGTCGGCTGCTCAGCGACAATTAAAAAATAAAATAAAATGTCACTATATGGATAATTTCATTTGTTAATACAAATTGCAGTTATGAGTGACATTTACTGTAATTAATTTTAAGATGTTATTTTAAAATAAATAGCTTTACTTTAAAAGTTAATTATTTCTATGTTCATTTTTTTTCTCACAAACAGGAAAATAAACAGAAGCAAATAATAAAATCTCACGGTTATCTATAAAAAATCATTTTATCATTAATATTTTCTTTTTATTAAATTACATTAAGATTTACATGTGAAGTGTGCTTTGTACTCTTCTTCTGAGTTCTTTCTTGAGTAAAATCAGTTCATTTCTCGCTCCTTCTAAGACACTCTTATTTTCCACCGCTCTTCTTGCCAAGTAAGGTAACACTTCGTCTATCTTACCATACGGAATGGATTTGTAGACTGGTAGACCAACTCTCACTGCATAAAATAAATAATTTATCATGAAATATTTGAAACATTTCTTTTTTATTCTGTGTATATTTTTTTATAGTATATAAAACATGCTAACCCGTTTTAATCTTAGGGTACCTTCTGTTAGATGAAGGTTAGCATGGTCGATAACTACTCTTACCACATAGGTGACCCTCCAGACCGAACACCTATTTCGATAGATAGTTGACATTTAACAATTGACTTGCCACATTGCCCACCTCCTCTCATTGTTGCTTCTCAGTCTCATTTACACACAACGGGATCCTGCACACGCTTGACTTCTAATATCAATACAGGAGCAACCGTGAACTTAATACAGCTCTCACAACAAGTGTTCAAAATCTTATCAACTTAACACAGCTCTCCCGGTTATTCGCAAATACAGCAACTAGTGGTATCCCTTCGATTGAATTCTATCCCTAATAAAATTCTGGTGAAGGAGTATTATGTCGTAACTACCACTATGATTTTTATACATCAATCCACCAATATATAAGACATGCTAACTCGATTCATTCTTGAGATACCTCTTGATAGATGCTCATAAAAAAATAGATGCTTGACGAAAGCTCATTCCCCAAACCCGTATCAGATTTTGAATCCTATAATTGTCATGAGTTGGCAACATTTATTTATGACTGGTAGGTCAAGTTTAGCCTATTTTCTTTTTAGTCAACGTTCGCTATGCTAATTCTGAAAATGGCGCAAAATGTCGATATGAAGAAAATCCATTACAGTCTTGTAGAAATGAAGCGTTCGTAATGTAATTTTTTAATATTTGAAAAGTTGCTCCATCGCTGCATTTACTAGGCACATAAAATTTACAGAAAATTAAAAAATATTAGTAAGTTTTGTTAATTTTTATCTACGTGAAAAAAAATCTTGGCAAATTATTACGGTTTTCTTTCAAAGAGTTCCGACAGGACCAGAGCCGGATTATACCTTTCGTAGGCCCTAGGCATAGCCGTTTTTGGGCTCTCCCCTCCTTTCCCCACTCCTCCCCTCTTTTCAAAGTATATGCTAAAATTTGCGACATTTTGCGTAGTTTGGAATTCGACAGCATAATACAAGATTTCGTTGAATCCAAAAATCGCAAAAAAGTAATATATTAGATCATAAGATTCTGCAAAATAATTTATTACCGAAAAATATTATATTTTTATTTGTATCTTCATAATTTTGTGCAAAATACACTTGTTGTTTTTAAAGCTAAATTATTTTTGTCAACAAATTTTTTTCTCCCAAGTTTTTCGTAGGCCCCTGAATTTCGTAAGCCCTAGGCACGTGCCTAGTTTGCCTATAGGTTAATCCGGCCCTGGACAGGACTGTGTAGGGGTCAGGGAGCTGGCCTTGCATCAGAAAGGTTCTGTGTTCGAATCCCGGACAAAGTCATGGATGTTCTTTCATTCTCCGTACTAATGTGGGAGCAACGTTGATCCACCTAATATGGTGGCCTAAAAGAGTGGCCAACACATCTGTCCTAATACGCCTGAATTGACGAATGTCAATCCATGTGGGCATTGGAAAATAAATCTTTCGAAAAGTTTAATAAATGATAAAATATTTAAGTTTAAAGTTCGTTCTTAAGCCTAGATAATTTTTTACTGCAAGATGGTATTTATAATTTAAAATTATAGTTTTGATCCGAAACTGTAAAGCACTTAAACTCTAGCTCTTTATTTATTTTTATTTTTCCTAGGCGAGTTTGTCTGTGATCGTTACCCTAACTTTGGCAGCTCTTTATAGGTTGCTAAGGCCTCGCTAAAAATAAAATCCCTTCAATTATGGAAGAGTTTTTTTAAATAATGAGCACTAATACACAAGTGTGATGACAAGAATAATTATAGTAGTATAGAATAGTATAGTTAAAGCCCTGGATACTTAGATAAAGTAGCTACAAGCCGGCATCTTGGTAACTGCAACTCTCTTGTGACTGAAACTTTCAATGTGGAAATACTGAGTTTCTATTCTTAAACGCGACTGCGACTTTTCATTGATTAATAATTTCATATTCTTAAAGATAACTTATATGTTTCCTATTTTTTTCTTTTAATTATTTTTTTCCTATCTGGAAATTTACTGTAATGTATGAAATATTTAAAATAATAAAAAAAAATAAAGGAACTAAGTTCAAATAGGAATTAAATCATCTTATTCAAGCGTAGAAATTTCAAATTTATTAATTTGAAAAATATTTAATGTGTTACGCTAGTTTACTTTGAATTCTGTTAAATTACTTTTAATTTGCTTTTAATTAAATGACGAAATAAGGCCGTTGTTATGTATGTTGTTGTAATACCTACAGCTTAATTTTTTCCATGAAATTTAAATTTTTATCCAAACGTGTTTCTTTTTAGATCGCACAAAATCTCAAAAGGTTTTGACGTTCGATAAAAGAAGGCTAATCATAAACCTTAATTCGATTCAATTTCCAGAAAATGTGATTCAATTGCTCTCAGATTCAACTGCCTGAATGAGAAACCAGTCAAGTAAAATTGCTGAATTTCTGATCCAGCTGAGTTTGTAATCAAAAACCCTTTAGTCTTATAACAGGATATGAATATGTAATATGTTAATAACAGAAATGAAAGGTGGGAGGAAATGGTGATATAATATTACTTAAGGGATTGGACACTTGATCACACATTCCATACAATTGACCAAAACAGACACTTTGTAGATCCTTATCCATGTTCATGTCTTCTATTCTGCAAAAAAAGAAAAATCTAATTCCTGAAGTAACTGAGTAATATATGAATGTTTTTAGAGTTTCATTCTTTCTTTTCGCTCTTGTCTTTTATTTATTTTTTATTTGGTAACAAATTTACATTTTTTAAGAATAAGTTAAATAGGAGATGGTAAATAAATTAAAAAACTAATCTTATGTTTATTGAAACTCTAGTAGTTTTGTTGCTAAGATATAAAGAAAGAAAAAATACAATCTATACTTACTTTTTCACAGCAAATTTTATACTTTCTACATTATGACTAGCAATTATAAATTGACACTGTGGACCCATTGTGTAATGTTTGTCTAGTAGAAACGATAGAATTCTGAAGGAGAAAAAAAATAGTACAAAGCATTAAATCTATCATTTATCTAGCTAATTTAAATAAAACAGAATGTTAGAAAACATAAATAGAATCATTGGCAGAATAATACAATTTTTCTAAAGCCTGAATTTCATATTTCTATGTATTTGCTGCTTAAAAAAATGTGTATTTTTATGAAAGGTAAAAAATTAAGTTGACGACTCTTTTTTAATAAATTACCAATCATAAATTAAATACGATGCCTAAAAAAGTGCTGTAGTTGTCATTCATTATGTTGACCTACAAATAAGAAACACATTAGAAGAGATTTTTTTTTTAAAAAAAAACTTTATAGACTGAGCTCTACATCCTCATGCTCAAAGCATATTTCATTTTTATAAAAAATCAATTACAAAAGATAAAACAAATAAATTAAGTCATTTTTCCGAACATTTGAAAGCTCATTCAATTAAATTCACATTAAATATTTATTTATTTACTTTTTTTTGTATCGAGCATTACATTATTAAAACATTATTTTAGTTCTAAACTTTCTTTACTTGAAGGAGACACAGCTATGTAATATTCTGTTTTGTGTTTCCCTTTACATGTGACAAAATTTGCACGTGACAAAATTAAATCAAGTGCTTTTTATGAAATACTGTACAGTGTACCAAAAAAAAGAAGAAACGGACTACTCTGAATAACTTTTGATCTAATGATCAGACCTTCACGTTCTAGTACTCATTCTTAATGGCTCGAAAGGGGGACCTCAAATATGCTGAAAAATAAGTGCAGACGATATTTTAAGTTCAGAAATCAGACACAAAAACGTACTTTCTATGAAGACACATATCTTTTTTTTAAACGGTTTCGGGTTTCTGACCCCCAAACTATAGGGGGTAGCCGAAATCTGAATATGGTCCCAATAGTTTGGTCAGGATAGCGGTCCAAAGTTTGGAAAAAATAATTTTTAGTAAATATTTGCTATTATTTTATTCAATAATGGAAAAAATTTTGAATTCTAAGGTATACAATTTTTTGCATAATTTTAAAGAATATAATTTTACATAGCAAAATGCAAAATTTGAGCAAAATCGAATAAATAGTTAATGAGAAATTAAATTTCAAAAAAGTCATATATTTAAAATTCGATTTTTCAGGAATTATTCGACCGATTTTGCTCAAAATTTGTATTCTGCAATCTAAAATTATATTCTTTAAAATTGCGCACAAAATTGTATACCTTACTATTCAAAATTTTTTTGACCATTATTAATTTAAATAATAATAAATATTTTCTAAAAATTATTTTTTTGCGTGGAATTACTTTTGGACAGCTGAATTTTATAATGTGAGCAAAATTTTTTTCAATTAGCTTAAAAAGGTTTCGAGATATAGCGAAGTACGCAAAAAGTAAAATTAAAATTAAGGAATCCAAACTTTGGACAGCACTCCTGACCAAACAATTGGGACCATATTTTCCAGATTGCGGGTACTCTATATTTTGGGGGTCAGAAATCCGATTTCGGTGGAAAAAAATACATATTCAGAGAAAGTACGTTTTTGTGTCTGATTTCGTAACTTAAAATATCGTCTGCAAATATTAATTAGCATATTTGAGGTCATCCCCTTGAAACATTAAGATTGAGTCCTAAAACGTGAAAATTTGATCATTGAATCAAAAATTATTCAGAGAGGTTAGTTTTTTTTAATTGTTTTTTTATGCACACTGTACATTTTAAAATTCGAATTCAACTTAATTTAAGTGTTCTGATGTAATTATTTAAAAAAAAAACATTTCAAACCGGATATTAATTATGATTCAATTAAATAAACCAGATGATACTGTCCCATTGACTTTTTTTTCTCGTCTATCACTCTAAGCTTATACAGGGGTTTTGCAATCATTATTCTTAGTACACGTGCTTTAAGAATCCTTGTCGAAAATGAAATAAAATAAAGTATACACAATTGGTGCCGTAAATTAAAATTTATGCCAGGAAGAAACGAAGGGGAAAACAAAATCTGTTGAATCACAAGTGAGAAAAGTGGGATGAAAATTAGGCAAAATCAGTTTTATTGCCTGATAAACATTGAAGCTTTTTCTAATATTTGCCTTTTCACTCTTCTCTGTTTCTTTTGGCAATCATTTAGGTTTTATATGATTTAAGTCCCATCTTCCTCGGTGATGATAGGTTACATTTCAACAGTCCTCTAGTTAAAATATTAACTTTACTCTTAATGTGTACACTTTTTTGATTTTAATTTCCTCAAAGATTCTAAAAATACACATTATGTATATTAAGTTAAATTGATAAGACAATAATAAGACTTAAAAATTAAACATAAGTTATTGATAAGTTTTAAAAAAAAAGTTTAATTACGTAATTTTACTAACTCTCATCACTAAGAGTTTACAAATAAATTACAGATGCTCCAGATTAAGTTAATGTTTAACGATGGGGGTGGTAAGAGTATTTTTTCTACCATTAAAAACACAAAAGTGTGCGATATGATGAAAATGTTAACTACCCCTTATCCAGAGCAAACTGAAAGGTGTTATGAAGATTCATAACACCTTTCGCATGAAGCTTTAAATAACGGGTCCATTCATATTAAGTATTATACGGTAATACAAAATTAAAGTTTTAGTATATAACAAATCAATAATATAAAATTGCGGATTTGGTAAATAAATAGAAAAAGAATAGCGGGGCTTATAATGCTGCCCATCAATGCGATAAACCAAATTAGGTACCAAAATTTTCTTTTGAAAAAAAAAATGTTTCTAACTTATTATAATTGTTGCAAGTTGCAGTATAGTTTTCACAAACAGGGTCAGAAATCTTCAATTTCTGTGCACGACTTCTTTCTTGGCTCATGTATGCACCTCGGACCAATTTTGCTCCAAAATGACACCCTAGCTCAGTTACTAACGATAATTCTTCTTTTAGAAGTATCTCAGCGTCCTATAAAAGTACATGGTCGATTAGGAAATTAAATTTTAGGTTACATTGTGCAATGTACAGATGTTAACTTGAAATTTTACAAATGTCAGAAAAATAATTAATTTATGATGGGTACCAAAACTAAATATGCAGGGCCCTCGCTAAGGATTCGCCACCTCGCCTAATAAGATAAAATCATAAATTTGGAGAATAAAATTGTGTTTTGGTGAAAGATTTTTTTCCACTGGAAAGAAAGAAATATATTTTACTTGATCCTCAAAATTACGTCAAAATTAATTTTCCTAAAGAAATCAGTATTTTTTAGTCGATTACAGTAATTTTCGGTAGATGCGCCGCAAAACCAATTAGAATTGGGTCCAAATAATATAAGCCTGAAACAAACTACTGTAAAATAGTTTTCTATGGAAAAAAACTTAATCATAAAAAATTGTTCACGGTATCATGAAACAAATAAGAAACACACACACTTTGTAAATAAAGATGAAAGCAGAGATGTTTTCAATTTACCCTCAAGTAACACTGGTAAGTATTCCATATCACAGAAGCATCTAGGTTGAAAACTGCAACAGCTGCTAGAGCAAGGCAACTCAGGCCAGGATTGAGGTAAGTAATCTCTGCATCCACCAAAACTTTGACGCCTTTTCTTTTTGCTTCCTGAAAAAGCATCATTCAGTTTTAATAGAATGGAACTTATTATAAAGATTTTTAGTACAAAAAAATTATTTTAAAAGTTATAAGGTTGAAAAAACAAAAACTTATATTCTAAAATTTCTACCGGAAAAAAAAAACTGAACGTATTTAGCGTAGTTCTCCATAGCATATCCTAATAGAGATTTCGTACAGTTGTTTTTACAAAACTTCCATTAGTTCAAATTTTTGCAAACGGATCACTTCTCAATTATTTACCAATGCCACCATAAAAACATCAAGTTTAAAAAACAAATGCCCTCTGCTAGCAATGAGATAACTGCAGGTGACGTAGTGTGGTTATCTCGATTCTGATTGGTTGTTGAAGCGTGACATTTGTTTACATTAACAACTGTTCATTCCATTCTATTTCATGTAACCAAGCCTATTGACCATCAGTTCTCTTAAATGATCCATGCTATATTCTTATACGAAGATTATTTCACCAGGATTTCAATTTTTTCACCATATATTTCTTAGTTAACACAAAGACAGATATGAAGCCATGTTGAAGATAAACAAACTAATTAAGCATCGAAGTTGCCAGGTAGACAGAACCAAAATATATCACTGTTACAATAAAATAGATAAACAAATAATAAATCTAAGTTAAGTAAAGGACAGTGAAGAGAAAGAATTATATTTCAATAAATTCGATGTGTGATATGCCTTTTGTATTCATTCTCACTTATGTGAACTTAGCTAGCTCTTAACATGCCCTTTTACTTATAAACGATCAGCCGTTGCTGACATCATACGTCACACGTGTGGGTATACATAGTCCTCTTCTTCTCGAAGGGCAAGTACCCAATTAGAAATGATACTTACGGTGCCAATTTTTTTAAACCTTTCAAGAGCGCGCTCTAAACATCTTTTCTGTGCTTCATCTAGGGCTTCGTCTAACAAAGAATCCTGTTAAAAAAATAAAGCCATGTTGAGTAATTAAATAGATTCTCTTAAAAAAAGGAAAGCAATTCTATATCGTATCCCATTTTTTACATACTTGTAATTTTCCTTCTGACATTCCTTCCGCCAACGCTTTTATCAATGACAGTTTATTATTATGTCCAGCATAAATATTGCCAACAGTAAGCTGAAATGAAAACTATTCTTTAATATCTCTAATGAACTAAATTAGTTCTTTAATTAAGAATTAACTTTAAAACTGAGTATAAACAATAATTAGATATAGCAAAGGTCCTCCGCTTGACTAGAATCATTCATTATCTGTCCTTGGTGGCTAGCACAAGGGCTTAACCAATCAAACCTAATTTTTACATTTTATGTAGAAGATTCATTGAATGTAAACATTCATTGTCTTATAACCAGTTGATGTGATATAGGCATAACTAACGAGGCATGTTTCATCTGTAGAAACGAGAGAAGATGAACCTCAAACTTGGTAGTATCGACTATTTTTTTTTTTACAATTATTGATTTAAAACTGAAAGTAATCGTAACTCAAACTCATAAGAAATCGAAATTCTCAAGGAATTAAAAAAATCAATTTAGGTTTTAATGTTACCGTTGGTGGAGTCTAATTTTAATGGAAAGGACATTCAAATACGCTGTTTGTGACTATTAATAGTTAAATCGATAAGAAAACTAAGCACTTCAAATATTTACTACAGAAAATAAAAATTATCTACAACAGTTCTTTGAAAAACAATTCTTTGTCTTGTTTTTATTGCAATGCGGAAGCTTTAAGAAATGTGGTGCGAAAATTAAATAAACGTGGTTAAAAAAAACATTCTGATTTTTTTTCTTTACATTTATTTTTAATAAATTTATATCTAAATTAACGTGTTTGACAATCCAGCATTTTTTGGGGGGTCAAAGGGTGGGGCTAAAGTAGGCAACATATGCAGCACATTCAAATTTTTACAATGTCAATTTCTAACATTAAAAAAATTACAGGTAAATAAAATAGAGACGTGGTGGCTCAAGGGATAGAGCGCTCGCCTCCCAATGAGGTGACCCGGGTTCGATCCGAGCGATGGCTGGTTGAAACGAATTCCGCACCCGGCTCGCACCGACCGCAGTGCTGACGAAAACTATCCTCAGAGGTAGACGGATCGTGGGTTAAACTCCTTTTGCCGCTACGCTAACCGAGGGAAGTTTTCGTGGTTTTCCTCTCCATGTAAGGCAAATGAGGATGAGTTCCATCAAAAAGTCTTCCACGAAAGCAAATTTCTACCAATACTTGATCCAGGAGTTCCCTTGTCTTCTGCATTAAGTTCAAAATTACAAGGCTACGGAGTTGAACTTTGATAGTCGTAAACTCAAAATTGGGACGGTTGCAAAATGGCAAATAAAATAATGAAAAAAGGACATTTGTTGTACATGCACGTGATTTTTCTTTTGGAGGCCGGAATTTGACCTGTAAAAAAATTCGCATTGATTTTTTTGAATATGCCCAATGGTTCAGAAAGAAAGATCGTGGGCACTCTCTGACAAAATAAATTTTTTTATAGCTGAGTTTAATGGTTTTAAAACAAACTCACGAGCATATCGGCTGATAGAAGGCCTGACAGCTTCAACTGAATCATTGGGGACTTGATGTCTTCAGTGGTGACGATACCAATCGCATTCAATATCCTCTGACAGTTGTTGTTGTAAACAATCTCATCCCTATAAATAATGAACCAATTATAGCCTTTTCGTTGTTTTAACATACCATAGATATACAATACTATACTACTGGCAGTTTAAGACGCTGTGACTGTAAAAACTTACAGTTAATAGCTGCTCAGTCTTTCTTAAATAGTAACGAGAAACAAAATAAATGCAAATGTATAAATACAACAAAATACTCGTTGAAATAAAATCAAATGGTTATCAAGGGAAATTGCATTAACCACACTCGCCTAAGATAGTTTTGATAAGTTTAGGAAGATTTATCTCGTGAGCTATGGGTAAAATACAAATTCAGAAACACATTTAAATTCAAAGTTAAACAAAACCGACCTGCCTTACGAGAATTAGAATAAAATATGCAAAAATAGAAAAAGAAACCCTACTATAAATACTTTGTGGAGCGAGTGTCGACGATGTCTCCATCAATCCCCAGATAGAATCAAAACGTTCTCTTATGAACTATAGTAATTTGTATTATTGTAGTGTTAGTTATACTACATTACTCCCCCTCCAGAGTTTTATTTGTGATAGAATTCGATAAATGGATATCACTAGTTCATTCATTGTGGTTTTTGTGCGTCGCCTGGAAAGCTGTATTAAGATCATGGTTGTGAGAGCATCGCTCCTGTGTTGCAATTAGCAATCGAGTGTGTACAGAAGCCGTTGTATGTGATCGAGACTGAGTAGCAACAGTGGGATGATGACAGTGTCGCAGTCACAAATTGCAAGTCAACAGTTCAGTGTGGACCATCTATCGAAGTGGGCACGTTTCAATCGAAGTGGACGTGTCTGTCAAGATAGGCGTGTACAGATCACGTTTGAAGTACACCAATGTCGGACTAGAATGCCGATTATGTCAGTCAATTCTATTCAGAAATATTTACAGTGTAATAGAATATTTTTATCGGTTAAAAAAATGTTCAGGTTTTTATTCGATCTTCGATTCAAAACATTTTCACAGTTTTAAAATATGAAATTTTCATTGTGAAACTAAAATAAGTAAAAATACTGTCTACAGATTTTTACAAACTTTCGTGGTGGACTATATTAGAGTTTAGTAGCTAGTTTAATAGTTAACTAGTTTAAAATAGTACTACTTTTTAATAAGCATTTTAAAATGTATATAGGTGGTGATTATGGAAGATTCTGAGTAAACATAATTTATTACTATTATTATATTTGGAAAATATTAAACAAATATTCGATTTAGATTTTATTTCTTAAGAATTTCCACCATTTCGGCACTTTTTTTTGTATGTGCAAAACAGTATACAAGATGTCACGTAATGACTGCCCTTAATATTAATTTTTTAAATCCTTGTAAAGAATAAAGTCAAACAGAAATGCTAATAATAGAACGAAAAAATTCGTTACGCAAGAAAAAGGATTACATGTTTCTAAATCATTTTACAAATCAGGGAAAGAAAACAAGAGATATAAAAATAATAAGTTTTTTTTCTCTTTATTGTCCTTTGAGTTTAAATGCGCTCGCCTTGATCAAAGAATCACCTTTAAGCTTCATCCTCAAATAAATTGATATTTGATAGTTTTAATTCCGCCATTGATTTTATTATTCTCAATAATTAAGCGATGAAAGAATTTTTTCTAATTTAACCAATACAGCAGTATATATCCAGTTACAGAATCTAGTGCAAAGGCAGCGCAAACTAGATAGGAAGCGCTACGAACGAGTTATGCCCTGCCATAGTCTAAATTTAAAATAAAAAAATAAAAAAGAATTAAGCCGGTGCTCGGTATCGTCTTCGGAAAGCAAAAAGAAATAACAAACACTATTAGTTCTTTATCAGAAGGAGGGCATGGTGCTGAATCGCTTCAACATTGATTTGACACTGCTAATGTTCATTGATTTTTGACTTCATTTTAACAAAGTTTTTAAAAATACATAATAAGGGCAGATATTGAGGAACACCCAATAGGAGTGTTGTAGGGAATTATTTGATCATTCTCACTTTCCTTCTCCCACATCTTCTTCTAAAGTTGCTGCTAACATCGCTCTCATTCCCGTCCGGGCCAAACTCCGAGTACATGCTCTGAGTTCTTCAGTTGTTTCTCCACCCACAAACTGATTGTAGACAGTTGGTTTGAAGAGAAGACGGAGACCACGAACACCCACTAATTTCTCTGCTGCTTTCATCAGCTATAAATAATGCATTTACATTAGAATCCCTCTCCTTGAGACTTAAACAACGCAACCCTGCTTATTGTTCTGTCTTTAGGAGTGAGTTCATTGCGACCAATATGATGCTATCTTGTCCTACGAAGGTGATTTTAGTGAATTATGGATTTTATCGGACAGCCTCAGCTCACTACAACATCCAAGTGGCTGGTTTCTCTGCTGCAAGCGACGCAACCAGGGTTTCGTTTTTTTTTTTTTTTTTTTTTTTTTTTTTTTTTTTTTTTTTTTTTTTTTTNTGTGATTGTTCCTGTTTTTCAGTGGCGCCATCTATGGCCAGGAATTCGACTTCTGCCACGTCATTCACACAACCACTACCTGTTTATAGGGCGGGTCACATTCACACACAAAGGAGAAAGGACATAGAACACACACAGAGAGAGAAAGAAACATCCATGCCTTGCCCGGGATTCGAACCCAGGACTTTTCTGATGCAAGGACAGTTCCCTACCCCCTACACAGGTCGGTCGGCAGCGTTTCGATTCTGTACAAACTAAGGACAATCTCTGAGAATCACGATGTTTACCTCCAATGGATCCCATCAGACGTGGATATTCCCGGAAATGAGGTAGCGGACAGATTGGCGAAACAAAAGCCGTATGCCCCCTACACACCACTGGTATCATAGGACATCCCCTGGTACCCTGTTGAACATTAAATGTGACCGAAGAGCCCAGACTGGTTTGGCTAGATTTGCAAGTGGCCATCTTAAGTTACTTACTTTTGAGGAAGGCAGAAAAATCTTCTCTATTTACAAAAAATACTGTGTTCAACCAACACCTTTTAAAAGAACAAAGGCCTATGCACGGATTAACTTAGTAGTCCGACGTAAAGAGCATAAACTGCGCAGTGGGGAGAAGTACGAAAGATATCACTGCGTTCGGACAACTAAAGGATCGAATTTCTCATTTATGGTAACTCGTGCATAGGTCTTCTCTTTTCTAGAAGGTGTTGGTTCAACTAGCTTCGTCAAAATATATTATGGTTTGTCTTGGACTTTCCAAGGTGAATCTTACCCCTTTTTGTTGCGGATTTTCTTGAGGTCAGCGGCGTCTGGGGCTTATTATACTTATATCAGATTAAAAGGATAAGCAACAATAACATAGATAATGTGGTCAGAAAAAGAAATTCTTGACGTGATTTGAATTATAGTAGTTAGTAATTTAAAAGATTTCGACAGCACCTTTTGTATAGGTTAAAATTTTAATAGCTCTATGTCGAAATTGATATCCATCCCAAATATTAGAGCAATACAAACATTTTGTTTCCAAAGTTACTAACAGTAATTGGATTCAAAAGAATAATAAAATAAAAATTTTAGAAATTAAATAAAATTATTTTCTGTTAAGATTTTAATTTTTCTAGTTAAGTGTTTGTTAATTTGTTTACGGCATAAAGTAGTTATATTTCGATTGACAATAAAATGGCTGTAAAATATGCTCACATTATTTAAGAAACAAATGCAACTTGCAATCAGGCACAGAGCTCCAATTGAAATTCTAGCATTATAACCAATTGGTAAATGAGTAAAATTTAAATTAACAATATTTACATTACAATGCATTACAATAACAATATACTATTTGGCGATAAATTATTTTATGTATTGATCAGAAAACAATTTAAACTTATACTGTCATCTAGCACAGTGCTCTAGTAGAGATTTGAGAGCTCTAACTAGTCGGAAAGTTATAGAAGTTTCGATTACAAGATTTCACCTTTAAACCTCACTGAAACGCGAACATATAATTAGTTATTAAAATAATATAGTTAATAAAATACGTAGTGATAATCAGGGCTCGAAAAAAACTCAGGAATTTTACCCGTCCCCAAGAACGGCTTGTCCAACAATGTACCCGTCCTCCTTTGAAACTAACCCGTAGCTTCTAAATAAATAGAAGTATAATTTTCTCTTATTTATTAAAAACATTTATATAAATTGCACAATGAATTAGTAGTTACTAGGATTGCATTATACAGTTGTAAAAGAAATAGTAGGTCACTAATAGTAACCTAGTGTTTCTTTTATTAAATACATAATTTCTTTCTTTTATGAAATAATTTAAATGCCAAAGATCAAGTTATTCGGAATGTCAATTTATCCGAGGGTACTGCGTTTTTTTAAATGAATCAAATATGACGTTTGCCAGTTCCACAATCAAGCCAATGATTTATAGAGGTTTCTGCGCAGAAATCTGAAAGGGGATTTTCATTTAGGTAGATGTTCATAATTGCGTTTAACGCTTCTTGTTTAAGACCAGTAAGCAATGTCTTTTTTTTTTTGTAAATCCATTGCTGAAAAGCCCCTTTCAATCGCTGCAGTACTCCCAGACAGAAAGAACATTAATTCTAATACCAAAAATTTAAAATGTATCACGAACATTAACGGGAAAATGGCCGTCCGCGCGGACGTCGGGTTTGAGAAATTCGTGTTCCGCGGGGAATTTTTGACCGCCGAGAACGGGAGGCCGGGCGGCTTTTTGAGCCCTGGTGTTAATGTTAATTTATTCCATTCCTGATCAAGGCGGAAAATTCACATAATTTTTTTTTTTTAAAAAAAGGAATAACATAAAGTTTTTATTGTTACTGAATATGTAATAATGATCCAAGTAATTGTCGGATAACATTGGTGGGACAAAAACGAAAGTTACATTTTTCTTCAGCAAAATAGATAAACAATTCGAAATTTACTTTTTTTCTCTCTTTCTTCTCCGAGTCTGTAATTTAGAATGGTTCAATCATTTTATTAAAACATTTCGAAAGAAGAACTGTCTAATCATGTTTGTAACAGAGTTAAAAAAGAAAATGTCTTATCATATCACTCTTGAGTCCAAATATTTATGTATCAAGTTGAATTGACGTCATTCAGTTTTCATTTTTTATGGAATAATATATTTATCAGTCATGTCAAGTTGTATAATAATAATAATAGAAATGCAGTTACGAATCGCACTCTAAAACTGTTTACAAAAATTTTTTTCGATTTTAATGCTCTCTAAGGAGAACCTGTTGTTAGTACAGTTTATGGCTAACTTCTACTGAATCCTTTTATTTATTTATTTGTTTAATCTTATACGTTTAATTTTAAACTCTACTTAAAGAGCGGATTTTAATTTAATTTAAAAGCATTTTTTCCATAAAAAAGGGATTTTAAGTTAAATTTAAAGAAATCAGGGCTCAAAAGTTTTAAAAAATAGCCATGTTTAACAAAAAAAAGGTCTTCAAAATCTATTGAGCATATAACAAAAAAAAAAACTTTTTATGTTTTTTTTTGTCGTCATATGCCTGTTTAGGCAGTGGGGATGCGATTGTTTCTGTTTTTCAGTGGCGCCATCTATGGCCAGGAATTCAACTTCTGCTGTGCCATTCACACAACCACAACCCGTTTATAGGGCGGGTCAAATTCACACACACACAGGAGAAAGGACATAGAACACAGAGAGAGAGAGAAAGAAACATCCAGACCTTGCCCGGGTTTCGAACCCAGGACCTTTCTGAGGCAAGGACAGTTCCAGCCTCCCACACAGACCGATCGGTACTTTTTATGTTAAAAAAATTATTAGAAAAATTTCTTTTAAATTATTGCAAAAATTGAATGATACATGAAGATCACTCTACAGGGTTTCCCGTAATATTGCGGGCGAACTTGTAGGGGAAGTAAAGCACATAATAAGGATTATGAATTACACAGGAAACCATGACCGGAAATGTCATCTTACGCTGCTAGGGGCGCTTTCCTATTGAAGACATGCTGTTCGTGTACTTTTTGACTTGTTCGTGTACTCTTGACTTGTACTGTTTGTTGCCTTTGTACTTTTACTTGTACTTTGTACTTTGAACTTGTACTTTTATTTTTCTAAAATATTTAATTTCATGTTACTATTATAATTATGTTAATTTTATGTTATTTTAATTTAATGATTAGATGAGCTTGTTCAGTTAGTCACCTTATCATTACGATAAAACAGCTAATACTATACCTATTTGACGGCAGTTTTTGACAGTAATTAATGGAAAACAAGAAATTAAGATAATTTATATAAATTAAAGTACCTGATGTTCAAAGGGATGCGATGTAACAGTTCATGAAAAGAAAGCGTCCCTAGCAGCGTACGATGACATTTCCGGTCTTGGTTTGCAAGGTAATTCTTAATCCTTATGATGTGCCCTACTTCCCCTTCAAGTTTGTCGCAGCATTTACGGAACACCCTGTATAGTTATGAAACCAGATCTTAATTTGATCTTAAATTTAAAATTACAGTAAAAACTTGCTGAAATAAAACAAAAATTTAGGAAATTTAAGAATTTACTTTATATAAATTTTATTATTATTTACAATACACCCTGCGAATTAAAATATCTCTGATGGGAAGAAAACAATCCATGTTATTCGTTAAATCTTTTGCTTGCATCCGATTTTTTGGTTTATCTGAAGCATAAAAATTGTAGAATGTACGCAGACTCAACTATCTCTAATAATTTGAATTCACGAAATANGAATTGACGTCATTCACTTTTCATGGAATAATATATTTATCAGTCATGTCAAGTTGTATAATAATAATAATAATAGAAATGCAGTTACGAATCGCACTCTAAAACTGTTTACAAAAATTGTTTTCGATTTTAATGCTCTCCAAGGAAAATCTGTTGTTCTTACAGTTTATGGCTAACTTCTACTGAATCCGTTTATTTCATTTTATTTTTTTAATCTTATAATTTTAAACTTTACTTAAAAAACGAGTTTTGAAATTTGATTTAAAAACAATTTTTTTTCCAAAAAAGTGATTTTAAATTAAATTAAAAAAAAAATCAGAGCTCAAAAGTTCTAAAAAATAGCCATGCTTAACAAAAAAAGGTCTTCAAAATCTATTGAGCATATAATAAAAAAAGGACTTTTTATGTTGAAAAAATTTCTTTTAAATTATTGCGAAGATTGAATGATGCATGAAGATCACTCTACAGTGTTTTCCGTAATGTTGCGGCGAACTGGTAGGGGCAGTAAAGCACATAATAAGGATTAAGAATTACACAGGAAAACATGACCGGAAATGTCATCTTACGCTGCTAGGGACGCTTTCCTATTGTAGATATGTTGTTCGTGAACTTTTGAGTTGTACTGTTGCCTTTGAACTTGTACTTTCATTTTTCTAAAATATTTAATTTCATATTACTATTATAATCATGTTAATTTATGTTATTTTAATTTAATGATTAGGTGAGCTTGTCCAGTTAGTCGCCATATCATTAAATTGCGATAAAACAGCTAATACTATACCTATTTGACGGCAGTTTTTGACAGTAATTAATGGAAAACAAGAAATTAAGATAATTTATATAAATAAAAGTACCTGATGTTCAAAGGGATACGATGTAACAGTTCATAAAAAGAAAGCGCCCCTAGCAGGGTACGATGGCATTGCCGGTCTTGGTTTGCAAGGTAATTCTTAATCCTTATGATGTGCCCTACTTCCCCTTTAAGTTTGTCGCAACATTTACGGAACATCCTGCATAGTTATAAAACCAGAATTAAGTTAATTTTATCTTAAATTTGAAATTACAGTAAAAACTTGCTGAAATAGAACAAAAATTTAGGAAATTTAAGAATTCACTTATAATAATTTATCGATTTTCATACAAATTTTATTATTATTCACAATGGACCCTGCGAATTAAAATATCTCTGATGGGAAGAAAACAATCCATGTTATTCGGTAAAATCTTTTGCTTGTACCCGATTTTTTGGTTTATCTGAAGCATAAATATTGTAGAATGCACGCAGACTCAACGATCTTCAGTAATTTGAATTCACGGGATAGCCTGGTTGGCAGGGCATTGGACTCACACTCACGTTCGTGAGAACGGGGGTTCGAATCCTGCCAGCCGATGACACCCCGTGTAGTAAAGGTGACTGATGCACGTTAAATCTGCCGGGTCACAAAATCCTCCACGTTTCCATAACAAATTATTCCTCTGTGGGTACTGAATGGGACTGTCCCCAATATTTCGGCTGTATTTCAATATTTCAGAAACCAGCAGCATATTTAAGGCCACTCCCTCAAACCAGGGTTGAGGTTTTGGACGTCCTAAACTAGTTTGGGACGGGACACGTGGATTTTACTGTCTTAAACTGACTAAAACTGTCTTAAAGTGTCCAAAACCTTGAACATTGACAAAAGGTAAAAATTTTATGTGTGTAACCATTGTACACATAATAATTTCATATATTAATAAATATTTGATACTTTTTATACAATTCGCTTTAACTTATTACAGGGAAATAATATATAATAGGAAAAGATTTATAACTTTTAAAGCTCTATAATTCATTGAACAACAAAAGTGAATACCTTATCCTTTAAATATGAATAAATATGCTTTTAATACTGATAAGTTATGTTTTAGCAAAGGATAAATAATGCAATATTAAAAATAATAATAAACTTTTTTAGTAAAATAAAAACTTGTCTTAATTTATTTCTTGTTCAAAAATTAACCTTTTATTTTTCACTTCATTTTTTTTAAAATTGTGATATACTTCGAACAAAAGGGTTTTGGACAATTTTAGAGCGGTTTTGGACAGGACGGTTTAAACCGCGGATTAATCCATTCTGTCCTAAACCTTGCCAACTCTGCCTCAAACCATGAAGGAGTCCTAGAACGTGAAGATCCGATCATTACATCACAAGTTATTCCGTGCGGTCCGTTTTTCATTTTGGGCACTATAAAATAATAATATGTTTAAAAGACATCTTTGCAATCAGATAATCTTACCTCTAAACTGTTGTCTGCAATCTTCTCGACAGAACATAATTGCAATACAGAAATCGCTCGCAGTAATTCCCACGTTGATTTGTAACCAAAGCATTCCTTATAATCATCAAAAGTAATACCTTTCAAGGCCCTCGGAGTAACTTCGTCTGCTACGATTGAAGATTGTAAATGGGCTCTTTGACAGTTCGCCGTGCTCTTCAATCTAGTACAAGGTATTCGAACACTGGTACTACAGTATTGTAGAGACCTCGCCACTAAAACACTCATTTCTGCTTTTTCACTAGATTATATCCAGATTTGATATTGCGTGTTCGATATTTGGCATGCGAGTTGCGACATTGAAGAGATCATCTTTTTACACCATCGATCTGATATGCGTTTGTATTTATTTGTGATTATATCACTGATATGTATACTTTCATATGTTTTTTAATTATTAAAAAAAAATAGAAAAGAAAAGAACGCATTAATAGTATTCCATAAGAACAGGGATGACGTTATCAGAGATATTTTTGTTCTCTCGTTTGAACATACAGTAGAACCTCGATTATTCGAGCTTGTTAGGACCGTTAGTACCTCGGATATTAGAAATCTCGGTTAATAGAAACTGTGTATAAAAACCTTGCCTTGCTCGCAAATTCAACATCTTTTGAAATATACAACAACAGAACGCTTTTTAAATGATAAAAATAAACATGTATAAAGTTATGTTTCACAGCTCAATAAATTTAAAAAGGCAACAACGAGAACTAAATTTAAAAAAAAAAAATTTTTTAAATTATTTTTAAAATTAAATTAAAAAAAATAACACAAATCTCAAAAACTTATAGTATTTTTAAAATTTAATATACATTCAATTGTTAAGTTTACACTATTTCTTATTTTATTACTATTTCTTAAAATATTCTGCTACCTTTGTTGCAAAAGTACATTATAAAAAAAGTACAAGATATTGCATCTCGAGTTTAATAGGGTAATACGGCCACTGGAAACAAAGCATTCTTCCGCGTTGTTGATTTCTCAGGGTGCAATATTTCTTCAAAGTTGAGTACTTTCGGGGGCAGTAGAGTTAACAGAAATGTCGGTGAATCGAGGTTCTACTATACTGTAAGAATCGGCGGGGACAATGTATTGCTAGTTTTTCGTACATGGAATTCTTAAATTTTTGAGAATGAGGTAACTTTTTTATTTTGAATCCGTAGTGTTTCAAGTGGGATAACTTTCTTGACTTTTATAAATCTATTCATATGTTTCTTGGAAACTTACAAGGTGTTTCGTAATCATCACCCTTAATGTATAGATTTAGAATCTGTCAAAACTGTACGTACAGGGTAAAATTAACAGTAGCCACCGGCAACAGGACGACTCAATATAACAAATGGTGATTAGAAAATTGTTTACCAGTTTCTACCTTTTCGACGAAAATGCTCTCCACGTGCAATTTATAATTATTATTCTTTTTAATGTTGTCGTCGTAGGCCATTAAGGTACTAGGGGTGCCATTGTTCTTGTTTTCCAGTGACGCCATCTATAGTCGAGATTTCGACTTCTACCACATCCGTTTATATGGCAGACCCATTCGTACATCCACAGATCGTAATTTTGACCTGAACCAGAGAACCATCAATCTCCACTACCTCTAGAGGCATAATTTGTTACGGGAACATGGAGGACTTCGTGTCGCGACAGATTTAACGGGCACCAGTCACCATTTACAACACGAGGAGTCTTCGAACTCCCGTTCTCATGATCATGAGTCTAGCGCCCTATCAATCTGGCTATCCCGGCCCATTTTTTTTTAATAAATATGGAATTATGAATATTTTACAATATTCTGAAAATAACTTTACTTCACGCTTTCTTCTAAAAATTTTTCTTCATTTTAGAAGTGAATCTTGTCATGCTTACCATATTTTGAGAATTGCTTCATACGAAATGCTTTAAATTATTAATATCAAGTTTAAAAAAAAAAAAATTATTGATATTTTCAATTTTTGAAAAAGTAGCGAAATTTCCTTATTTTTCCTATAATAGTAGAGATAGCAAATTAATACAGAGAGGGGAAAAACAAAAACTCTATAGAATCACTACTGAGAAAGGCGGGTCAAAATCTGTTTAATTGCCACTGGAATTAGAAGCAAGTTGAAAGACTATATTTAGAACTAACTTAAGTTACAAAATCAGACACAAAAACGTACTTTCTCTGAGTAAACATACTCTTTTTCCGACGAATTATGATTTTTGAAGCACAAAATATAGGGAGAAGCCGCAATATGGTCCCGATAGTTTGGTCAAGAGAGCGAGGCAAAGTTTGTTTCCTTTAAAGTTAATTTAACTTTTTGCATATTTCGCCACAATTTATAAATTTTTAAAGCGAATTCAAAAAGTTTTGCACACAATCATAAAATTCGTTTATCCAAAAATAATTTCATGCATAAATATTTTTTAATAAATATTTATTATTTTATTTAATAAAAATCGAAAAACAATGAAATTGTTAGGAAAGTATAATTTGTTACATTTCAAAGAATGTAATTTTATATGGCGAAATTGATGGAATAGTTACTGAGAAATCGAATTTTAAATATGGAACTTATTTAAAATACGATTTCTCAGAAACTATTCTACCGATTTAGTCCAAAATGTCTACTTTGCTACATAAAATTCTTAAAAGTAATGAAAAAATTTGCACACCTCACAATTCAAAACTTTTTCTACTATTATTAAATAATATTATAAATAATTATTAAAAAATTTTTTTTGAGTGGTTGAGGTCACTCTCTTCTTTGAAGTGATATTAATAATAATAATTATTATTGTAATATTATTATATATGTATATTATATTATTTTGATAAGTAGAGCCCGGAAGTTCAGGCAAAATGCCATAAATGCCCTTTTTTAAGCGTTTTCTTCTGAAAATGCCTTTTTCTTTCCTTTTGTTCATAAATGTCTATTTCTGTCTAATTTAAAATTTTTCTGCAAAGCTTTTTGTACTTTTGACCGAGCATAAATTTTGAAGTACAGAAATGGTTGACTGTCATCCGACGTATTGTAATGCATTTATAGAGATTAGGACTTTATTCCTTTTGGGACAACTCCCTCCCTCTGAGGCAGTGGTCACCCTTCGCACTGTACAATGGCTATTCATCTGAGCTGATAGTGTACTCGTGCTTGAGTGAGCAAGGCAGGTGAAAGACATTTTTCTGTCCATGAGATTGACAGTGTTGTTTGAATAGAGAATAGAATACACTTAAAGCTGGAAATGCCATAAAAGTTTTATTTCCTAATATGATCCATCTAACGTGCCTTGTTCATGCATCGCACAGGATAGCAGAGGAAGTAAAAGGTCTCTATCCTGAGGTAGACTCGCTTGTTTCTAGTGTGAAAAAAGTATTTGTGAAAGCCCCTTCAAG